GAGTGGTACGAAGTCCGTCATTTGGCCAAATATGCTCACTATACAATCATCGTCTCTCTTATCAGCTTGATCCCACACTCTCGGGCGTACTTCACGAGCGCTGCCTCATCAGGACTAGGAGATGCAGCGTCCAGTCGTCCGAGCCAGCGGTCTCTACTGGTGTCACATTGTGACACAGTGCTAAAGTCACTATAGCGATGAGGAGCTCTGAACAAACAATTATTAATGAGTCTTCAATAACATCATATCAACTCACCCAACCCTCGGGCTTCCTCTTCTTTTCCACCTCTTTGTCCAGTAGATCGAGACCCGAAGACCCCTGGACTAGGCCGAGCCGACAAAATACGCCGAAGTACTCTCGTTATCATCTAAGAACAACAACCCTCATAACATCGGACAAGGACCGCAGTCATCTTGACATTGAATGCTTAGTATAGTAGCGTACTCAATGGCATACCATAGAAATCTGTTGGGTATCAGCATCGCTGCTGTATTCTCCTGCAGGAACTCTGAGTTTTTTGAAAACCATGTCGTTCTTCGTTAGAGTGCCCGTCTTATCAGTCAACACGTAGTCTATCGTACCAAGGTCCTGATGAGGAAGAACTGTCAAGGGAGTGCAAGCAGAGAACCTACGTACCTCCACAATAGCTGAGTTCCGAGCAACAGTACCAGGAATCTTAGAGTCGCTACCGATCCTACTGGCATAAAGGGTCTTCGCCATATCGAGGTTAACACGAAGGGAAATAGGAATGATATATGATAGTAGGACGATATACCTATGATGTAGACAAACTATACGAGGAGCTATCGCGGCTATCAATGGTGTTAATGATAATAACCATCAGTGACTTAGAAGTACCAGAAAAGCGAGAGAGCGAACGTACTGACCACATCGTAGAGCTTGACGGTATATGCAAAATTTCCTCTTGATAAGGTAAATTGAACAGATTCAGAACAGGAGGAAATACTCCTTCCCCTCGTCCCTTCAACCTACCGTAATAGAAATATCCACCACTGTCCTCGAAGGCCACGGCAAAGTACCAACATGAATGACAAGCCTATTAGTACAGCAAAACATACCTGCACGAGACGTTATGATATGACAGACGAATAACACCACGCTTGGTATATAGCCATCCGAGCTACTCATACCCTAAACCATGCAATTTGAAGCTCCATCGAACGACACCAGTACGATGGACACCAACTATAACATTCCCTCAACATCCTCTCGAAGAACACGAACCATTGCAAGTTGAGGTAATACAAAAAGGATAATCACCACCCTCCGAAGGTACCTTAGCACAGAAGTCGACTTGCTTATCTAGTAAGCACGTCTTATCATCAGATGCGTTGTCATCATAGCTCATAACAGTACGACTGTCCACTCCAGTATACACTACTAGACCGTACACTGGCCCATGCGTGACCACAGTATTCGCCCATAGGGTGTTTTCAAGGCCCAAGGCTTCACTCTGGACATCATTATCACCAAGTTTACGAAGAGATAGTCGACCAAGGAATTTGTAGATGCTCATCTGAGGCGCCTCCACCCTAAACAAAAAAAGAATGACAACCATCGCACGGGACCAATCAAGCGGACTGATATCAAAGAGAAAAGCAAAGTCAATAGCAGAATACATCGCGAGGAGACCGACGATAGTCTTATATACTTAGCGCATATCTGGACATCGCCACAGAGATCTCTCCATCCCTCGAGATCCTGGGTCAACGAGGGGGCCTTCCTAGGCTTCCAGTCCTTCTCTCCATCGAGTTGATCTGTTCCTGAGAAGTGTTGAAAATATATCGATAGGATGGTTTGTAAATTAAAGCATGCATAGATGGAGTCTCTGATGGTTAACAATTCACTCACCGTCTGGAACTTTTTGAATAAAATCAAATGCTCACACAATTAATGTTCATATAATAAAAGTTTATAAAATAAATGTTCATATAATAAATGTTTATAAAAATAAATGTTCATATAATAAATGTTCATTAAATGAATCTTCATAAAATCGATGTTCATGCCATCTGGTTTAAAATGCGATGGCAAAAACTTCGATAATCCACTCACTCGGCTCAGATGATATTAACAGCACTTGCCGTATTTCATGTCGCAGCTTTAAACACGAACTACAGGTACACCCACGATTAACGGTCAAGAGCATCACTCTCCTACTTCAATATATAATAGCTCATCATTACATGTAACCCTTGTTAAAGTTTTAGCGCGAAGCACTACTTATTTTTCAGGGGGATGCCAAATTTTCGTCAAGAACAACGCTCCTTGGAGTATGATACGATCCTCACATTCTAATCACATACGACTCTGCCGTCTATAGCCAGGAATCACTCACGTATGTAGGTTTGGCCGTTCTTTCCCTCCTGCTCCCCAAATTCCGTCCGTAATAATATCATATCTGCTGGGACCCGCTCATTGGTGAGGACCTATAACGGCGCCAACTAATCGCTATCTCCACAAATCTTTTCACGCGCCATAAAATTCCTCCCTCACCTGGAGAACATCTCCAACCTTAATATCAGCGCTGGCGACTTTCTCAAGATCTCCGACAGCCGTGTTGACCCTCGTATACTTCTTGCTATTCACTGCCTTATCACGACGCCACCTGAACAGTGCCAGCAAGACCCCTTGACCGCACTATGAAGATTTCGTGATAAAAACAAAGATACTCACCGTTTGATATCATCACTCGCTTCCTTCAACATAGTACACAACAAGACGAATACAAGAGGTCCGATATAAGTGAATAACGGCCCAACCTGAGGGGGCATGTACACTCAACGTGAGGAACGAATTCGTACCCGTAGCGGCGGCAATGATTGTGTCACCGCTAGAACCAGGAAGAAAAAGTTAAAGAAGAACTTGAACTGCTGAGCGAACACCAGAGGCACAAACGACATCACAGTGTACTTCGTGCTTGCAACAACATTAGATACTTTCCGTAGGAACTGAATAACCGATTCACCGAGGCATCACCACATGGGACCGGACTACCTTCATTTCCCCATCTTCATCAACAACGATGGGTCTATTAGTTCGTCGGTCGTCAGTGCGGACCAGTCGGAAGCCCGTCTCCTTCACTTTCCTCCGAGGACATAAGCATCTACACAGCCGTTGACAAAAGCCGTCCTTCTGCACCATTGAGGGATCCACAAAGTCCCCACTAGGGCCGTCATCATAGACATCACTTTCATCATCACTATCAGAGGGGTCCTCAATGTCAGACTCTTGCCGTATGTACCCGTGAGGTGTAGACGGCATATGAACAAACTTAACGAATCACCAATTATTCAAAAGCCACCGGGAAGAACACAACAAGGAGAATGTGAATCTCACCACGCGACTTCCATGTCAAGAACTGCAAGTCGATGCCTTTGCCCCCACTTTCCTTCATATTACGTGGCGGGGCCTCTCATAGCATTTTGGTGCTTCCACTGATGCCACTCCACATGTAGGCAAAAATTCGGCTATCGCGATACGGTATAGTGATCCACATAAAAGGAAAATTTTGTAGTAGCCATGTATCCCCTGATATCATGCGATTCGATGTAACAACGTGATAACGGACAAGTACGGGAATCCAGAGAGTTCGTGCGTGGGACCATTTATAATGTACCATTTTCACTGTAGCTAATGACAGGGAATCACCGAGAATGGCAAATTCTCCTATATACCGAATACTGGAAACTCACCGGAATTTCGTGAAAATCGGAAACATCGATAACTAACACATGCCTAGGATGGTGAGCAATGTAATACAAATCATTAGATCCAGACCAGTGTTGGAATATATGTTCGCTTTCCTCACCTGAGCTCAAGAGTTCCCCCACTAATTATACAAGTTTATATACGAATTTGGGTAGAAGTGTACAGAAACCAACGGGAACTCCCAAAAACATCCTCAGGATTTTCATATTGTCACCAACACATGTAGTTGACCATGTACATCTTTTCCCACACTGCTCCTGAGAGTTACCAGCTGATGTTGACTTTTTTACACCAGTACTCCTAATAATGCACATTTTCCCCTACACTACTGTCATCCGACTTCATGCACACGCAGCTTCGATGGCGCGTAGTGGAAGTGCGGGCCCACCGACAGGAAGGTCATGAAGATCACTCTGAAACTACCACATACGGCTCTTCTTATTCGTAAGTCGAATAAAAAGGGACGCATAAAACCACTCGATGATCAACAAATCAGTCACATACTCAAGGGCTTGACTACAACACTCAACTGTGCAGCCCTACAAAGAGCGACCTCTCCAGCACCGGGAACAAGGATCTCTTGCCATGTCTATTTGCACTACACTAGAACTGTTACTTTCTCCCCATCTCCACTATTCCATTACTCACTGTCACCACCATTGTAACATGATGCCTACCAGTCCTTGCCCGAATCTGTGTATACAGCGTCGATGGCCGGAGCATCCCTGTATTGTTGTCGATGCACGTTCTTTTGCGAGACCCCCAGCCTTTCCACCGCTCTATAGACCCCGTTGAACTACATAAACTCAAGAGATCCTTTCGGAAATGACTCTTGTCTAAACGATACGGCAGCGTCGCTACTGCAAACGAGTGATGACCAATAATAGGGTATACTAGGCAACTCGAAGCTCTACCTTTTATCGTCATGTAGAGTACAAGGGTGGCACCAGAGGCATACCTCAGACAAAGCAGTGAGAGCGGGGTAAAGGTAGTAGTGATAGCAGCAGCAACAGCAGGCATAGCGCCTTGTGAGTACTAGAACGACGATTACGACGACGTTTCCACAAAAACAACAGACTAACACCACCAAGGTGAGGATACGAACAGAGAAATGACTAGCAGACACCTAGAGTCTATATAGAGATAGAAACAGTCAGC